CATCCCTGGGATCCACATCAGTGATGATACCCACCCCCCTACTTCACACACACACACACACACACACACACACACACACACACACACACACACACACACACACACACATACAGACTTCCTTGTCCTCATCGCTGTCTACACCTGGTAGATCCCCTGGCAAGTCCGCTCCTCCTTCATAAATACTAGCAGCTGCTTGGGCAATTAGCCATTAGCGCTTTACTTTTTACTATAATACCCGGTACTCAGAAATCTCCACAATTAGCTCCTTAATTGCTTCTAAACAACCCAGGCGTAACCAATAAATAGAGGAAGGCGGTAGGTAGTTTGGTGAAGAGACAGGCTTCTGGGAGAGAATCAAGCTAGCTTGGAGAATTCAAGTTAAACTGTTCTTCCTGTTTCCTCCCTATGCAGCCTTTGGCAATTTTTTTTTCTGTCGTGACACGGCTCGGAAAAGGCTTGTGTAGGAGGAGGAAAGACGGAGCGGGTAAAAACACAAGGCAGAGAGGGCTGATGCCTCATATTCAAATTGAAAGTGACGCATCCATGCCCTTTATTCTGTGGTCTAACTATCACTTCAGAGACATGCCAACATTCAGTGTGACAGAGGGTGTTACGGTGACTTTTAGACGGGCAGGAGACGGCGCCCCCCAGGCGTGGATTTGCGTGGCAGCGTGATATGACACAGCTCGCTTGACAGAGCAATGGGGATACCCTCAAGATTAGCTGAATGCATTAAAAGGAGGCATGAAATGTAGCTAACTGTTGATTAAATCACTGTTACATCCAAACTGGCAGTTCCAGTTAACCTGTTTTACATTGACGACAGCTACGCCACTAACATAACAATGGCCTTTAGGCTTAAATGTGCATCACAGCAGACATGCTTATCTAGGGACAGACATTGGTGAATGACATAGCTTTCTATGAAATAAAACTGTGTTGTGTGCTTTAAGATGTTTATTTATATAATTATATATATTTTTTAAAACAGGTTGACCAAAGAGCTTTACATAGAAAAAAGGTCAAACATAAACACAAGAAAACATTGTACATTAAATATTTCATAAGATTAAATGATTTATTTATCAAGCTAACTTGCAAATATTTATTGATTCTTCTTTTAGTCTCTAGATATAACATAAGGGATTGGTTCTTATCTGTGTGTTGTGACCAAAATGAAAAAATAAACATATTGAAAGAGCATTGTGTGACAATGTAAAGATAGTATTTATGGATAAAAGAGATGTAAAGAATTTAACTCAGATCACATAGTGCTGTTCTGGTGCATGGATGAGCTTTTGTCATTCTTTTTTTTTTTCACTATGTGGTGAATTTTAGACATGTTATTCTCTCTATGATGACCTTTTTTTTTTTTTTTTTAATCAGTTGGGGTGATCAGGGGCTTTGAAATGTTCCCTGCATCATTAAATGAGGGAGAGTTTGCCCAAAAATTGCCACAGCTGGCCTCCACTACATGCTTTAACTATTGGCAGTGGCTAAATATTTGCTGTTGTTTTGATTAAACAAGAATTATCCTTTAACCAGAGAAGTGGAGGCTCAAACTCGTGGTCTGTTCTAAACAGTTTCTGGCATTCAATCACAGAAACACAGCTGATTGGCTTCCCCAAATCTACACATTGATAAAGTGCTTCCAAATGAAAACAATCACAGCAGAATCAAGTGTAATCAAGCCTCGCAATTCACAGCAACATGTGTGTGTGTGTGTGTGTGTGTGTGTGTGTTCCTGTGTTTGATTGTGTGTGCGTGTTTGTGATTGCTTTCTACTATTTTAACAGCTACAAAATCTCTGTGCATCTCGTCTTCTCAAAGCATCCGAAAGACACACACACGCAGACAGACACACACACACACACACACACACACACACACACACACACACACACACACACACACACCACACACACTTTCTCTCTCTCACATCACACAAACAATACCAAGGAGGTATACAAGCACCATCTAGTGCTTTATCCTGGAAATTGCTCTGCAGAATGTAAGAATTGAGATGATTAATGCTCAGTCTTTTTAATTATAAAAACTTTCTTAGTAATTTAACTGACCTTAATATCACAATTCTTAACTTAATTTTGTGTCATAGAAAGATACAAATTATAACAAATTATTTTAACTTAAAACTTGTGCCAAATATAATATAACTGGTCATATTCCGAATATTGACTTGCTTTTGTAGGCCGTGACCTGGCAGGTAAAATACATGAATGTGTTTTAAAAGGTAAGAGGGATAAAGGTCTAAATTGCAAATCAGAACCGTCCACAAGTAATTCAATGATTCTATCTCCACAAATCTCTTGTTAAACTTTTGGTTTTAATTCAGGAATAAAAGGCTTTATATATTAAGAAATCAAAAGGCCTTTTTTGGTTCTTGATCAAAGAACATTTTTTTTCAGTGGAAAGTCTGGAAACACTAAATAAGGAGAAGCAACTCGCATCATGTGCCTCCTTTCCTCAGCTTTCACAGATAAGAGGATGATGACAGTGGAAACATGGACATGTTTCAAAACTGTAAGAGCTTATCTGGAATCCTCAGCGAACATGTCACTAACCTGAACTCAAGCAAATATTTATCTGATGTGAACAAGTACACATGCAAAAAGCCAAATCCCTGATTGTTCACTCGATGAAAATGCCACATAAACTCCAAGATCTGACTGCACCTGATTTTTGATCCTGACTGAAGACAAAGAGAGCCAATATATAGATAAGATGTTTGCATCAGGACTTTAATACTCAAGACTCAAATATAATAACAAATATAAGGGTAAACAACATTTTTAGCATTAATGGAGCAAAAAAACGAAAAGTTCACTGAATGAAGAAAAAGTCTGAAGTCAGCGTGTTTAAACTACTGAAATGTGGATGTCACTAATCACAAAGCTAACACACATGCGACACACATGTGACATTTCGGCACCGACTTTCACTCCCTAATTCGGCAAAAGAAGGTCAGTTTCGTCTGACCCATCAGGCACCTCAGCTCAAAAAAGACCTGCTGATATACGTAGCCTATAAGTGAAACATATATATAGCTTCTGTGACCTTTAATCTAAAGCCTTTCAAGCTACTATGACTTTAGATTAGATAAGAAATGTAAAATATTCTTGATTTGCAGTGAAGACGCTCACATTTCACTGATACTTTTAACAACTGTGGGGGGGCGCTGATAGTCTGCCGCTTAGGTTGCGCATCCCATGTACAGAGGCTATAGTCCTAATCACAGCAGCCGTGGGTTCGAATCCGACCTCGGCCATTTGCTGCATGTAGTCCCCCACTCTCTCCTCCCAGCATTTCCTGTCTCTCTATAGCTGTCCAATATAATAAAGATAAAAATGGCCAAATATATCTGTGAAAAAAGCTTTCCTCTAAAAGGTATTTTATTTTTTTGTTTTATTAGGGGGGGGGTGCATTGTACAATTAGAGTTTGAAACTGGAGGACTTCCTGACTGTGCTCACCTTAAATTTCAATTTTTTAAATTATTTTTCATTGATATTCTTGATGTTAATTCGGAAAGAAAATGAACAGCAAGTTAATACCGTAAGTATGCTGTGGAAGCTTGAAGCCTACACTTCACACACTTTAGACACAGAATGGACTTTTAAGTGACGGAGGGAACATCTTGTTTCCAGCTGTAAAGCTTTTGAAATGAAATATATATTTGTATATTCAAGTTTCAACATTTTGTGATTGTTGAGAAGGAGCAGATGTGACCTTTTTTAAATAAGATGGCCAAACTTTTTTGTGTGAATCAGACACAAGATATTCCAAACACAGGGCATTCAAATGTCTAAAATCTAAAAAATATATTTTTTTAAGGCTGACTACTTTTGATTGAGGAATGCCAATAGCTGATAGTGTTTGGCACTATTCTGCACATTTGAACGAAAGAGATGAAAATGACACGATGGAAACAGAATTGAAACTGAACTAAATGAAAATCTTATGGTAGCAAGTGGGAAGCAGATGCGGCAGTTTCCTGCAGATTGTTTTATTCAGACTCACATTATTTTTATTTGTTTGTTGTTGTCCTGGTGTTTTGACTTCTTTTTCAACATATTGACTACAACACATTAGACTTCGTCAAGGACAGAAAGACAAAGCTGTGTGGTTTTACTTAAGTCATTATTTCAGATGTTAACAGTCCATTTACCCTAATCAAGGCCCAGACTTACATTCCTATGTTCCACATGGGAGTCAAAAAGTAGAAGTTTATTGTAATTTTCAACATTGACTGTTGACAAATCAACAACTACCTCAGACACTCAACAGGCTAAACTCTGCAAGAGAAACTGGTTACTGGCAAAACATGCAACATGAATATCCCACACAATTGTTTGAGTCAATAGGCTTATACTCATTTTTGAAAAGTTTTTTGATTAATTTGACCGTAGACATGCAAAGAACAGTCTTTGTTTTTATCACACACAAACACTTGAGGCTCTAAAGAGGCCTGCCTAGTACCCTATAGGCTGTATTTACTGGAGGCCCACTGCTTACAATAATTCCAGAGAAATTAGAGCGAGTAATCTTACTTTACTTTTTATTCTATTTTATTTAGTTTATAGCTTACTATTATTTCACTTTATTTGTTAACATGAACAGGAATTACTGAATTATCAGATCAACAAACGTAGTGAGGGTAAAATAAAGTGTTGTTTGGGTGAGGAGTAGGATAAAAATAATGCAAGGTCAAAGGTAAATCATAAGTAAAGAACAACCTGCGGGACTTCTGAAAAGCTACTCTTCGCCAGCCTACTGTTTTTTTTATTTTTATTGACAAATTGTTGGCTAATAACACAGACTATGTAGTTTTCCTGAACTAGCTTATATGTTAAGCATAATTAATTACATGACACATTTGTTTAAGATATGGACGCAATATAAGTGTTATAGACCTTCAGACGCTCGTGTTTTTTTTTTTCTCCCTGCAGGAAACGTTTGAGTGACTTGCCGAAATCCTGCGAAGGCACCCGTAGTTTGATGACGTCATGACCAAACATGGCGGCTTCCTTGAAGTGAACGGGGCAGGAAGAAAAAAAACAAAGAAGAAAACGTTTGTGAAAACTTGAACTAATATTACACATAAAAGTATCATTTGCGCTCCTCTGCGAGACCCGGACCTGTCAGCACTGTCATGTTGAGCAGACGTGACGCCGACACTGCTGCTGTGTTGTGGGACGATGCGCGAGTCTGCTGCGAGCACACCTGAGTTCACTGAGCTGTGGAGGAAGGTTTCCAGACTTTGTCACAGCAAAACACGAACACACAGATGCCTTCCGACACAGGATCACCCCGGCGTCAAGGTGAGCAATTGTTTTGTTTGTTTGTTTGTTTTTTTTATCCGACAGTGATCCGCTTCTAAACAAACCGGATGGTTCAGAAACATTAAATCGTGTGGGGTCGGGAGGACTTGGGGGAGGGGCATTAGTGGATAAAACTAAATAAAACTGAATTTATGATCATGACAGCACACTTGCAGGCTGAATTTCATCTTACTTTAACATATTTCTCCCTAAAATGTTACTGTTTTCAACCCTTTCAAGTGGCATTAAGATATTGTGCGAAAAAAAAAAAAATGTGTTGAGCAGAACTGCTTTTTGAACAGGATTGTGTTTTAATGCCTTTGTTGCTTTAGTAAAATAACATTTGCTGCATGTGATATCTTAAAATCTTGTTTCAAAGGCAGTGATGTTTTTGGTTTCAATACGGCTGGAAATCAATGATGTTATGCTCGACAGAGTTGTATACCCTGATGAAGATTTAAAAACAGCAGTCTTACTCATCGTATAACCTCAGAAGGACAGATAACCAGAGCATTTGTATGTGAATGTTTTCAGTTTAACTGTTTTTGCTTTGTCCTTTTGATTTCTGTTTGATGCTCAGATTTGCAGAGTCCACAGCGCAGAGGATACGGCAAATTGACTGGCTTAAATAATGGGGACTCTCCGGGTGATGTGGAACCATCACAAGACATTTTCTGGGATCCCACATCTCCCACTCCAGCTAATGGTAAAATATGAAGAATCCCTGTACACGTAAATCCTATTTATATGAGGGACAACATGCGTCTTGCTCTTGTACTTAATTTCAAAAAGAAATGACAAGACATGTTCCTACTGAGCAATCATTGATTATAAAGAATGAAATTGCAACATGGATCATTTTTGTCAAGTTATATTCATTTTCTCTAATGCCATTAATAGAATAATAACTTTTTTTGTTTGTTTGTCTGTCAGGGCTTAGGAACAACAGGGTGGTTGAAATATCTGACATTGTAAACCGAATTGCTCCAAAGGTCAGTATTCATCTTCAGAAACTTTAGGCTAACACTTGAATTAACTTTCTCAAATTATATTTAGGAAGATTTTTTTTTCGTCTTTTGGTTCATGCAGGATGTGAAACGGAAAGGGAGTGACTCTCCTCTGCTGCAGTGGATAGGTGACAGCGCTGTCCCTTGCACACCAGACGTTCCAAGGCCAAGAATGAGGAAGAGGTCATCCCGGTGTGTAATCAATAAAAATGAGTCAGATACTTGTTTGGGGCGCTTGGTTTCATTCATTGTAAAGGCAAACAATATATTCAAATGCAGTGGGTTACGTGTGCCTTTATTCTTTTCTTTTCAGTCTTTCGATTGTTAACACATTTCCGTGTGAATTGTTATGTCTCTGCAGGCAGAGCAGTGTGGAGGACCTCATGAAACTGGCACGGCAGTTTGACGCGAACATGCAAAAAGACAGAGAGACTTCAGAGCAGCTTAACACAGACAACAATAACCTCAGTAAATGTGTGAACACTTCAAAAACAAAACTGACGGAGACACAACACCCTACAAATGTGAAGGAGCTTAAGTGTACACCCTCATTGGAACAGGCAGAGGCTGAGCTGCATGCTCTGTTCGACTGCTCCACTCAGAAAGTCAGCGGCCGGCTAAGCCAAGGCTCCTCAGTATCGGCTTGTTCGCAGGAAGTGAGAAAACAACCTGTGACTTCAGCTTCAGTGGAACCCAAACAATCAGAGCTCAAGACATCATCAAAGTCCGCCCCAGCTGCAAAACCGGCTGGAGAAAAGGGACCTTGTGGTTTTAGTGATGACTTTGATGACGACTGGGAGGATGATGAACTACTTAATGACTCGTTTGTGCTAGAGATAACCCAGAATCCTGATCAGCTACTTGACAACAACCCTAAAACCAGCCTGCAGTCTAAGACTAACACTACTAAGTTCACCTCTGTCTGTAACCCTCCTGCACCTGATCATGATGATGATAAGGTTTGTCCAGTTGCAAGCTCTGTGAGGAACATTGCCGACAGCCATTGGGATGATGGGGACGATGACGATTTGCTCATCCAGATATGTGACAGTGTGGAAAGGATCTCCAATAGTCAGCCAGAGCAAGTGAGGCCCAGGTGTGACCAAGACAAGTATGATAATGGCGCAGACAGACAGAGAAAAAACACCGCACCTCTGCCCATAGACACAACCTGGTCCACAAACACCGGCATCAGTGCCAACAGAAAGTCTCCATTTGTACGTTCTAACTCATTACCAGGGACGAGCTGCCATGCTGTGAACCACCAAGGATGGGACATTCCCATGAAAGGTGCCAACAGCAAATCGGAGATGTCGCAGAGCCTCCCAGGAAGCCGCATGGGTCGGTGCACGTTTAGTAACTGCAAGAATTCCTCTGGAACTTTCCAGACTGGGAAGGCAAGTGTAGATATGAAGCCACATACAGTGACAGTCCAGGCTTCACAGAACTCTAAGTCCCATCACACTGCCTTCAAGAGAAATCTGTCTGACTCAGCAGTTATGACCAACAAAGGTAAGCTGTCCCAATTGTGATATTTGCACGTATAGGGCTATATATAAAAAAATATATATAATCCAGATAATTGCCTGTATGAACAGAAAAATAATAGTATCCTGGGTTGTTTTGTTTTTTTACTCAGTACATCTTTGCAGTTCTTTCACTTCCATCAGCTGTCCTCACTACTTTGCTGTGAGACAGGATATTGAAGTGAAAAGTCTTAAATAAAACAGATGTCACATGTTGTCCTTCTAATCATAGACAGTTCAGTGCTTGTACACATGAACGATTTCCCCCCCAAAGCAAGTAAATAAAGCACCATGGCTTTAATTTATAACGCTGTCAAGAGTCCAAACCTCTGGAAGCTCCTCTGTCAATTAATTGCAGACTGGTTCTGCTCTCAACGTGAAGGATTTTTTTTCCACATCAGAATGAGCTACACTTTTAGCCTCTGCTGGTCCTAGTTATGGTAGCAACATTTTTTTATGCTGACAAATTCAAAAGTTAGTGGTTTAAGGTCACAGCAATAACTGAAGGTTATGACTTTACCATCTCCCTTTTCTCATCAGGTCTGTGCAAGTGTTTTATTGGATGCATTTCCTTGCAAACCATAATTTATTTTTGTGTTATCGTCCTACTTTAGTTTTTGTCACAAGCCAGATGACAGCGAAGTGCTCTGCAGCTGAGATCGAGAGGAAGAAACAAGAAGCCCTGGCCAGGAGGCGACTGCGGATGCAGAACTCTCAGAAACCATAGAGGGGCCTCATCATGACTGAAGGGATATTATTTCACTGTCATAAGTCTTTACAGAACTCCTCATTCCAGGGCAGTGTTTCAGTCACCACTTTATAAAAGAGGTTTTATATGATGGTATCCAAGAGGATATCATGTTAGTGTTAAAAGTTCAGTATTTGATCATCAGGTTTGGACCAATGACATTGACTTTCTGCACAGAGGTTAGCTTATGTCTGTGAATGGAAGGTGAATGTCACAAGAGCTGCTGGATCTTTTCTGCTACTGATGTAAATCATCGAAGGATATTTTCATACTTTTCCTATCTTTAATTGAAATAAACACATTTACATCTACCAGGTTTGAAATAATTTAAAACGCTGCCTTGAACACATTTTCATGTTGTTTTCTGAGTGTCATTTTAGCCGTCTGTTTGGGGAAAGAAATGGGTTTGCATTTTTTCTGTATTTTGTTTAAATAGTTCCAAGTCAGTGTTAGAAATCTATAGTAAACACATGCAGGATATGTTATATTATTATATTATAGTTAGGATATTCTCTGTTTAGGCTTTTAAGACTGAATATGTGACTACACTTCTATAAATGCACACAATTAAAACATTTGACAGTTCTCATATCTTTGTAATCATAATAACTTCCATTGGTTGATCGATTGAGAAAGTTCTCTGGGTACTAATTCAACTCATGAGAAAATGTCTGTTTTATGAATGAACATTATAAGCTAAGATTCAGTAGACTCGGTTGAGACACTGTTGTTTCCGTTCATACTTTCTATACTTTTAGTTTTGTGCATATCAGGATCATTGTGTTACACTGTAAAAGCAGTGTTTTAGCAGTTCTCTGTTGGCACGGTTCATTGTAGTAGCCATGCTATGCACCTTAAGTTTGTTTAACAAACCCACAGTAAAATCAGAATGGTAATGATTCCATAAGGGTTCAAACAAGTAAAGATACCTTTACTACATTCTCCTGGAAGCTTTCATCATTTGTTTCAATAAAACACACCTAATCCGGACCCAGTGCCTTAGCGTCATAATCTATTTGATGCCAGACCTTGTTACTTCACAACAACATGATGTATTTGGAATTCTCCTAATTTGTCCTTCATGATTTATCTGCCTTGTACCAACACAAATAAATAAACACAATTGGCTGCTAAATTAAACTGTTTCTTTGTTGTTCAAATAGTTACATTATCAGTTGTTCATAGTTTCCACATGCTCACCTGCCAAACCCAAAAAACACACTGAATAAACTTCTGTAATCGTACTTAAAGTGGATGCAGCTTAAAGTTATTAAAATGCAGCTTTTCTTCAAAAAAAGGGCCTGCTTTTCATTGTTCATAAGATTAAACTACTCTACTTTTACAAGCATGTTAATTACATAGAAGCAGAAGTCAGAAATTAACAACCTCTCAAGCTTATAGTATTCCACTACTTTTAAAAAAGTGTATAATATGATACATGATGCATTAGCTCAAACACATAACAGGATTTTTATTTAAACCAAGAAAACCAAGCCTAGATAGCACTGACTTAAAAAAAACTCCCTTCAGAGCTCGAGGAGACAACTGGTCCTTATGCAAAATTATTATTCAAATTAGAATCATCTTTTTCTTTCTGCATCATTGGCTCTACTTTCTTATCAAACAACTGGTCAGTATTTTTTTAAGTGTACACAGACTACTTCCTTACTGCAGTTTTTGGCATCCATTTCTTCTAACCTGTGTTTATTGCAGGACTGCTGACAGGTCGTGCAGATATGACGGGGCCCATTTCACAAACACTCAAATTTGTTTTCAACAAGTTGCTGCCTGAAAGGAAGACCATTGTGGCGGTGCCATCGCCTCAGTGTGGAGCATTATTATTGTTATTAGACATGAGGGATTATTTTAATATGAGGGCTAATTTATCCTGTGGCCTCTTATCACTCTACTCACCTGCTGTATGTGAGGGAGGGGAGGACAATGTTCCTCTTTGTAGTCCCAAGAGAATTCCTCACTGTTCATCCCTCAACCCCATCCCCAGCCATTACAAGCCTGCGAGTTCCCAGTGTGTGTGTGTGTGTGTGAGTGAGAAAGGGTGGTCTGCAGGTGTGTATATTGAAGTATTTATCCCATTCCTAGCACGTAATATTCCCCATCTTCCACCCTGCTCTACCTGTTTCCCCTCCCCCATCCGATCCGACTGTAAATCAGATGGCAGGGCAATTTGGCAACAGCATAAAAGGCCCCTGGTTTTTATGAGTATGATTATGGTTATGATGATGACTAGTATTTATTTCAACTATCTGATGAAACCCAGGGCTAAAGCTAACAGGTGTCGAGCAGGTACAATATCGTGCTCGCTGAAGGATCCCTGTAATGCCGCCATAGAGAGCGAAATATCGTTGGCAAAACAGAAGAATGGGCTGTTTCAGCGCCCACTCGTCATGCCGTACACGAAGCAATTTCTGATTATTGGATGGGAGTGCAGCTCCACAACGTCCTCTTTGTAGAGAGAGAATGATTTATGGCTGTTAGTCAGGCATAAGGCAGTAATTGCAGCAGTGACGATTATGTTACCATGGCACCTGTTTAAACTGTCTATTCTTATGTGAATGTTTTCATTTTTGGAAGAGGGGGATTTGCAGTTTGAAACTGATGTGTGGAGACGTTAATAGGAGTTCAGAAAGGGTCTGGGATGGTGTGGTAACAATTAAGGGAGAAAGGATAGCATGTGATGGACAGATATGTGTTGTGTTATCTGATATCTCGGGGAACGTTTGTTAGAAAGCCGACGCATATTTTCTTCAAGCTGCAAAACAGAGGCAGACTATTCAACAAGTATGAACACAAAATGTGTAGTGATAATACAATTAAAAAGACATGAATATAATCTGACTTTATACCTGCATTTTACTGCCTTTTGTAAATCAAAATATTATACTGAAACACAAGCTACAAAGACTACACATGCCATACAATACAAATGCAAATTTTATTGTCACACTTTAGTCGACACATTTAAGTCTACACATACGTATTTTACACCACGTTATGAAGGACACTCAAGGAGTCACTTAGTTGTGTGTGTTGAGCCTGATCCTTGACCTCCTCTGCATTGGTGTTTAAAACAAAAGTTTGCTGAAGTCCCTGCCCTGATTTCCTCTGGGTGGGTAAATTCAATGAGTTAAGGTCTTCCCACCTTTATGTTGTGGAGATGCCTTCATGAAAGATTCGTCCCTTTAGGGTAAGTCTGTGTAAACTCAGTTTTATCTTTTGGAAGAGTTGAATTAGAACTACAAAAATCACTGAGGTTAAGGTAATACAAATTGTAACAAGTAGTGGCATCAAAATGATATGTTCTAAATATATCACAGCATTTTAACTTTAAAAAGCATATATTTTCCTTTCTTTAAAAAGCAATGAGTTAGTCTATTGGTTTGTAGTTCTCCCAGATTTTAATTAGCTATTAAATCACTATCCAACAGAATGCACGAGATACTGTAAAAATTGCAAAGGCAAAATAAATAAATAAAGTCTTAAAAAAAAAAACAGATCAAGGCCAAAAACAGACATTTGAAAAGAATAAAATGAAAGTTTATGTTGTAATGTCACCCATAAAGTCTGAAACAACAACATACAACCTCAGTGAAAACAAGATAAACAGCGCCAGACGAAGGCTGACACAAGATCCGACAGCTTCGGAATAAAAGTTGTTGCATCTTGCATTGAGAATCTCATGATGCAAAGGGTCTCACATAAGCCTTTAGCTAAAATTGGCAAAATCATTGTTTAAAGAGTTAATAAACTGTCAGCTGGTTAATGTTTTTGTGTAACTTTGTGATTTTTCTACTTAGAGGCCAGAGGTCAGCAACAGAAGAACAGTTCTGGAAGCAGAAGCTTGATCCCATTCCTATCACCATTACCTCACCACTGTCACTCTTTCGTTTGATCATCTGTGTGAAAGGGTTGCCATATTAATGACAGTGCCAAACTAATAAAAGCAAACGAGAAAGTTGACTATGAAACCCTCTGGCAGCAACTCTGCTCCAGTGCTGACGTGATAATCCAGTACCCATAAATGCTGGAGGAAAAAACATCACTCGACATTTCAACTTGCTTTCATTCTGTATCTCATCTGTCATTTGGTTGAACAAATACATTGATCCAGTCAAGTCCAGTTATATTCTACCACCTTTATGTTCTTGTGAGGAACTTTTGGTTTGTTCCAATTTTGTCGCCCCCTGCTGAACTTCCTTTCTCTCTTGTTGATTTTCTTCTGTACGTATGTAAATAGTGTTTTAGACTCAAAAACTCTTCCTGCTTTCTTTTAATAGTCAAACGCATAACTCATTGAGAATCTTTGCCATGGAAAATTTAAGAAAGGCTGCTTGTGTAGCCTGCAACTCCATCTGACTCTTAACCATGTGGCAGTATCTTCAGGCATTAAAAATACCATTAAGAGATAGTCGGTCCTGAAGGTCTCATTTGCTTTTTTAGGTCATTAAGAGGCATCTCAATTAATTTCAGTCTTTTTTATAACCAGTTAAAAACTTCTCACAGGGGCTCTAATTTAACACAATCTTACTTCAAGCTGTTCAAGACAGCAAAGCCTGATTCATCCAACTGCTACAAAAAACAATTCAACTACATTGGAAAGAAAATGCTCCTACTTCTTCATATTTTGTCGCTTTAGCAATCTCCGTATGTAAATGAGGTCATAAGGTTGTTGGAATCAGATCTAGACCACAGTAGTTATTCCCTTTTTGTAACTTTTTCTTTCCTCCTTTCAACACTCATCCATGTATGGAGCTGAAGTGGCGGAAGTGAGTAATGAGACCTGGAGGCATACTTGTGTGCTGGATTACCGATGCATTTGCAGTAGATTAATATGAGCCAAAATTTTCCAAAGGCATCCACTGTTCCGCAGAGTAGACTCCAAGAACAGCAAACATAAATTAAACGTCTTTTGAAATATGACCTGAGGTAACTATTGCCTCTTTAACCTGAGTGCAGAGCAGCCATTGGAGATAACATCGCTAATCGCTTTCCAATGCTGCAGAAAGGCTAAACACAGATACCTCATACATACACCAGGTTATTTTTCCACTTGTTCTTACTTCTCTTGCTATCTATTTCTCTCATCTGTTTTTATATCACTCTGTCTCACACACACACACACACATGTAGAGGATGAGTTGTGCAGTGCCGTGGCAGCAGCCTGTCAGCAGCGTAAATGACCTGTGAAGAGTTTCACGGTGCGTGTCATTAGGCAGCTTTAGATTTGTTTCAACAGGGCTTTACCTGAGGGCTCCATTCATGGGTCCCCAGGTATGACCGCCCTCCCCACTTGGGGGGAAGTTAAGGGGGGAGTTGGCAAATTCCCCCTCTCCCTCTATGGAGGACAAATGGAAAGCCCACAAGCAAGACAGGGCAATTGTGTAGAGTGTAGAGTTCAGGTTGTTTAAGGAGACTGCTGCAAAGAAAACATTGTCATCATTTAGAGCTTTCTGTTGACACATTGTTTATACTTTTTTGTTTCTCTGGAACTATGTAACTACTAAAGTTGGTTTCTCACTAACTTTATCAGAAAAGTGCATCATGGGATTGCTAAACATTGAATATGGATAGACATTTAGATATGCCATGTATTCTTTAGTTTCATTTATTTGTAATAGACATACTTTTAAGTCTCTAAACATGTGCTATAGGGTTATGGTTATGACCAATTCAAATTGTAACCTTCAACTTCTACTTTTTGTGTACAAAAGTCAAATTGTAGTTATTTTTACAGTTTTTATTTTTTTTACCCTGAGGCACACCTTGTAGTAATTTTGTATAAACAATTCATAGCTAGTTCATCCCATCTTTTCTCTGGAAATAAGTCATGTCTAGGTTAAAGTCGACCAGCTGTAATAGAGATAAGGAGTAAGGTGGTGTCTAACAAAGTCGTGTTGTTTTAATCTAAATCATAGCTTTGGAATGGAAGGACTAACAGAAAAAAACACCTCTCGTGAAGGATTTATTAGCACGCTGAAAGCTTTGCAATGAAGTCAACTTTCTTTGTCCACTGTTCCTCCCTGGATTAACCCAATCCAAACGGAGCCCTTATTGATATATCTGAATCGTCACGCTTTATTAAGCATGCTGATAAGGGTCTGCAGACTTCACTGTGTT